AAATAAAGCCTTCAAAAATTTATTTTTTTTTACTGACCTAATAATATTTGCCAGCAAACAGCAGAGTATTACCCTTAGCAATGACAAACATAAAAGGATGGTCAGCAGTAAACGTAGGTGTCGGCCGTTCAAAGTGCAACGAAGTTGTTGAGACTGCAATCGCAGTCGCGGCTGCGGCTTCTGTTCCCTCTTCATTAACCTGTAATTCATCAACTTTTTGGCAAACTTATAAGTTTAGAAAAACAGCTAGACCTCTCAAGATAAATCGCACCAGCAAAACTGCATTAAATACTTTCTAAAATATAAGGTAAAAAAACGGCAAAGAAAAACAGTTATGCCTAACTTCAGACATCTGATTCATAAAGCATCCAACGCCCACCTCTATAAAAGCTTTATGTAGAACAGTGGATATAAAGAGAGATTGCGCGCTCATCTTTCTGAAGTTGGCACTATCAGAAAAAGCCTCAGAAAGACCCATTCTACCTAATACTCCAGAAAGTTCAAACTGTATTTCCAAACAAAATTTAGGCATTCCGACCTAAAAGCTAAGAACCAGATTACTTCCAAAGTAAAGAATAACAGAGCAACACCAATAAAGTAAAACAATTTAGACGTCTCCAGCAGTGTATTTCAATTATTTAAACATGCAGTATTCTAAATTCAAAAACTAGTTCTTAAAAACCCTTCGCCAATATGGTTATAAACACCAAAAACAGTTTAAGACAACAACTAAACAAAGTCATATTACTTTAGATTTTAAATTTTTCTTCACTAAGATATATCAGTTTTATTTTTATCTGCTGTTTAACATTTGAAATCAGTGTACCTCAACTTTCGTTCGGCTCGTCCTCATCATGTACTGCAGCAGTTTCTTGCCATCAATATTTGTCAGAAACTTCGTAAGACCAAACTTTTCGACAGGCAGAAAAATTAACATTTTTACTTCATTGCCTTCGTACGGAATCCCAAGAACTTGTACACTGTCATCAGAATAATAATCGAAACTATCAATTTTGTGCATCATCTCAACCTAAAAATTAAAACAGAATTTTTACTGTCGTTCCCAATGAAAAAGTATTTACTTTTCTATAGCCAAAGTTAAAAG